GATTTTTTGGCTCCCGAGGACAGCGTTATATCGGGGTAGAGGTGTATTTTTAAAAGTTTGGCCTATACATTGTGTTCAGCTACAGTCATCCATTGCTTTGGTATTTATTTATCTGAACAGGTGCGATGCTGGTTTAGCCAGATTGTCTGCAGAGCACAAAATTACGTATGAAAGACTTCAAAGCCTAAGCAAAGACCAACAAGCTTCTAAAATGATCTTGGAATCTAAAATCAAAGAGGCAGAAATACAGGTATGTTGTATAAAACAAGTGATCTTCATAAGAGGGAGAGATTAACTTCATGAACAAAAACACCATATTGTTAAACTAATGGCACTGGAGTTGCTGGCTTTCAGAAGAAACATAATCAAGGTCCTGACCATTTTTACTCATTAAAGATCCCATGACACTGTGCAAATGTAGATGCAAATATATCTGCTCTGGAATCCGGATCAAATCTGAATTGGTACATCCATTTCATCTACTTACATTCTTCTGTTGCTTTAACTGGATAAAGTATTTGTAATTTTCTGTCCCTAAAATGTTGTTTAGTGGTTGCTAGTATTGTTCTAATGCCTTCTGTGAGCAACCCCAGTAATGGATGCATTTCAGTAGGGGTTCCCTCTGGGTTAGTCTGTGGCATTCTGCCACAAACCAGGAGTGATGCAGAGCCCCTGCAAGAGCACCAGGAACATTTTGCACCATGCAGGCACAGTTTCCACGGGTGCTGCTCCTTGTGCATTTTTCATGAGCCATTTGGGTTATACAAAATGCTGCATATAAGAAAATAGTTATACAGAATACCATGATGCACCAGCTGATTCCCTGGGCGAGTATGGAGGGGGTGTTGCCCAGGCTTTTCCTGTCTCTATCTGTTTTACAGCAGACATGCAGGTGAGGGACAAGCTTCTTGCTTGTTCCTGTGCACTAGTGTGACCTCATAGGGGCCACTCACAATCAAGACCTATATCTGTGCAGTAATAATTCTGTCAAACATATCAAGTAATCCCATTGAGTTAGCCAGTGGTACTGTAGGTGTATTAGTCACAGAGGAAAATCAGTCCCATGAGACTTCCAACTTCTGTATTTAAACCCTGATCTGAAAAGAGCTCAATAAAGACATTTTCCATGATTCAAGTAGATTACACTTACAATTTTAAAACATGGGAAAAAAATCTATATTCTGTAACCTACTAACTACAGTCTCACTCTTCATGTTACTGTAGTTGAACATTAGCATTTCCATTGTATGCCATAAAAATTTCACACCGATCTAAAGCTTGGCACACAAGAGCAGTCTGATAATTCACTTTTTTCCCTGCTAGCTTTTAAAACAATCTGTTCCATTTTAATGAATGCCTCAAATATAGAAGCTGATTTATAGAAATTGATTGGTTTAAGATGCATTTTCTACACCTATATAATTAAAATATTGCTTTAATTTATAAACTCAGATTTCCCATGTATTGAGTAATGCACGTAGTGAGGTGTACAGCTCTTAAGCAGTAACTTTTAAAATTACAATTTCACCGAGATTGCCAGCACACTGACTGCTGGTACAGGGCCTGTTCTCTGGATGGGCCACATGTTACCTTCAGTCTTTGTGCGTAACTACCATTGTTGTCAATGAGAATTCAGCATTGGAATGAGGTTGTAACATGACCTGATGTGTGCACATGGACAATAATAGGAATTGAAGTGTGCATTTGGGACAAATCCTATTCTCCCCCTCCCTCATACTCTCTCAATGGGTTTGGAAAGCCCAGTAGGTAATGGAAAGAAGAATGCAGGCCTGCCCAAGAGATGTGTACCATGGATAGTACGCCTGAGAGCTACCTCACACAGGGACGTTTTGGAGTGGGGTGCGGCTAGGTGATATTCCTCACCTGCTCACAAAAAAAGGTCCAGGCAGATGCTCTGACTGCAAGGACACAGCTCCCCCCAGTTGTTGTTGGCTGAGAAATTGTGATCTTAGTAATGCTGCCACTCCAGTTGTGTGGGTTAGTAGATTTTGCACGATGAGGACAGTTTAAAAAACTAAAAGGAAAATTTGCAAGTAGGTTAAAGTTTGGGACCATCAATTAGAGCAGCGTCCCTTTAAAATCTTATAAGTATTTATGTTCCAAGCACAATGTGTGACGAGTTTGAGGAGAAAAATACTAAACTCAGAATTCTGTTTCAGATTTCTTACCTTCTGAGCAGAGTAGAGCAGTCAATAATGCAACAAGAAGCAAAACTGAAGATTGCCTACAAAGAGAGCAACCAACAGCTCCACCTTCTGGATGTTAAGTGAGTACTCACCTTATTGGAAAATCATGCTAATTATAAATCAAGGGGCTAGTCTTGCAAACCCGGAGTAATCCTTATGAGAGGATCTTTGCATGAATGAGGTGTTGAAGGACTGGGACCCAAATGAAGGCACATTAATTTGTACATTTGCTCACTGCGGTAATAGTACTCAGTAAGAGCCAGATTTGCAAAGATAATTAGGCTCCTAGAAATGCAGAGAGGCACCTAGTGGATTTTACAGAAGCAGCTAAGTTAGTTCAGCATCTCACTCTTATTGACTTGCAGTGGGAGTTCAGCTCCTAACCTGTGTAGATGCTTTTGTAAACCCCACTATGCATCTTTCTGTATTTTAGGCACCTAAATGCTTCTGTAAATCTGGTCATAAACCACTTTGAACTAAATTTGTAAAACATTGTGTGCCAGATGTAAGTATTAAGACCTGGAAAAGAATGTATACTGTATATACATGTGCAGACAGCCAGACACGGAATTCAATACGTGTAACAGTTTCAAACTGGCTGCAAATATATATGTGCACATCCAGTTACTACAACTATCTCAGCACCATGCCAAAATGAGAGAGGCAAATGCGTAGGACTTCAAATACTACAGCACATTTAAATATATACATGTAGATCCAAATCCTAAAATCTTTACTCAGTCCTTTCCAATCCAAACTCTCATGAGCTTCAAAGACTGTAAAGTGAATGGGATGTCACACTGGTTTCTAGGCTATGGCATTCTATTTCTTGATGGGTCTGCATTGTATATGCCTCAAAATACTGCAACCATATTTTATGCAACTAGTTGCTGTTCTATTACATTCTCTCATCCTTGATTATCTGAAACTATTAACATAAACCAAGCCCAGCAGTGTGAAATTTCAAAACATTGCATGAATATGCTGTCAAACATGCTATGGAGGAAAAAGGGGATTTTTATGTTGATTGTCATAAAAACTCCACAGTCCAGTGATCAAAGAACATGAGATGCTCTTGTATATTTCCAGACATGCTCATTTATTTTATTCTCTTAGATTAAAAGGTGCAGTAGAGGAACTCAGCAGCCAGATATTGTCTGCCCGCAGCTGGTTGGAACAGGAACATGAACGGATTGAAAAAGAGCTTTTACAGAAAATTGATCAGATTTCCTTGGCCCTTAAGGAAAAGACCGTAGGTTTCTGTAATAAAAGAATAAAATGTTCTGAAAATACTTCTAGAGACGTATAGAAGCAAATGTTGCTGAGTTGGCATTTGGTGGGATTTTCAGAAATGCTCAATATGGGCATAAGTCCTCTCCTGTTGATGCAATGATAAAATTCCCATTGATTGGGAACTTTTGAAACCCACCTTATAATTATAGATAAATCTGAACACTACTTTTAAATTTACAAATATTCTATTTTAAAAATAAAATGAAGAAGCAGCAGCTTACAGTGACCAAGCCAATTTGAGAATTTTTATTAACTATATTTTATAACTGCATAAACTTTTAATTCTTGTATAGAAAATGATAAGTAAGCATTGACACTTGTTGCATCTCTAGGGACTGAACAGTTTATTACACAAAGAATTTGGTAATTTATTACTCAAAGAATAACCAAACATAATTATTTTCACTGATCCCAGGAAATGAGTGAAAGGGCCATAGAGATGAGATTCAGCCAGA